CTGTAAATTTGTACAATTGGAATATTGTAAAGTTGGAATCTATGATTGACTTTAATAGGAAACTTCCTAGATTTTTGGATTATGGTGTGTGTGTGTGTGTGTGTGTGTGTGTGTGTGTGTGTGTGTGAGAGAGAGAGAGAGAGAGACAGAGACAGACAGACAGACAGACAGAGAGACAGAGAAAGAGAGAAGGCAAGTGCAAGTGTGAGTACTTTGCTCTTTGCTCTTAATTACAATCTCTCCTATATCATTCCCTGAAAACAATTAAAACATGTTTTATTTTGTTTTCAAATATGGAAGATCATTGACTTTCACTTCAGGTAATTATCACCACATAGTACATGTTAAGGAAGTAAGTGTTCCCTGCCTTCTCTTGCTAATCTGATGTGAGGGTGGAGAGCACTTTGAAAAAATATTTGTGAAAGGAGGAGAGATAGAAGTGAGCTGAGTAAGAAAGTTTTTTTTCATGTTCAAATTAGGAACACTTTTTTCTTTTTAGAAGGCATTTCCTTGAGATTGTCAGGTAATACTTTCTTAAGGAACTATGGGATTTTAAAGAGTTTTGGCTCAAGCTCTCTTTTTAGGTTCTTTTTAATTTTAGGAGTTTTTAGTGTAGGGACTCAGTCCTTTCTTACTGTTCTAGGGAACAAAGGGATATTGTCTGCAGATTAACCCTTGGAAGCTGGGTTCCTAGATGATAATGTTAACAGCAGTTAATAATCACATAGGCCTCTGTGTTGGGCACTTTAGATGTACATAACTCAAGCCCACAACAGCACTTTGACCTAGGTTTACTGTTTATCAAATCTAAACTGAGTCACTGGTGAATTCTTGGCTTTGCAAGGAGATGACAATGAAAGGAGATACCGCACAAAATTAGTATCTCCAGCACTACCTGATTGAATAATAGCATGATGACATGAGTTGTGAGACTGTGAAATGTAAGATACACCCCAGTGTTCAAGGAGTTATAATAAGAAAGTATATGCACATTAGAACTAGTAAAATAGGAAATTATCCCTGTTCCACAGATGAAGAAGTCAAGGCAGCAGATATTAAATTATCTGAAGTGACATGACTAGATTCATATGCAGGGGATTTGATTTGAGAGTCTGTGCTCTTCCACTTTTTTCTGTCTCTCAATATTATGTTGGAATCGAAACCAGAATATCATGTGAGTAGACAGCCCAGTTTGTCTGTAAAACAATGGTACTTATATCCTTCTGAGGGAGGAAGTGTTTTTTGTATGTGCCATCTGCCTTTGGGGCTGTGATAAGGTTTGTTACATGAATGCAATATGAAGTGCTTGACATGTGGGCCTCTGATCTAGGTTCCTAACCCATTTTTAGCAAGAGCAATGTGAGTAGGAAGCAAGAAGAATACTTTGATTGACTGGTTTCCCAAGCACCAACAGGCAGGAGTACTTGCTGGAAATGGGGTCTACAAAATGTTGTTTTGGTGTCCCCAAATGTCATAGTCTTCATTGTGTACATTGTCACAGTTTCCTGGTCTGCTCTAAAATGCTGACAAAATTAATTTATATATTTTTTTCTATCTTTGGGGAGTGGAGTGTTTTCTTTCTGGAAAAGAGCCCTCAGAAATAGCACTTAGCACTTAAGTAGCAAAAATAAGAAGTACAAACAATTTTCATATAAAAATGGTCCTGTATGAAAACTTGCCAGCATTGAGAACGTAACATCAAGTTCTCCTTACTGGGTAATGGTAAGCAGTGATGATACAAGCATGTGGTGTTGGTTTGGGCTTATAATTTGCTATGGACTAGGATTATTTTCTGCTGGAAGATAGAATGATTACCATTAACTCTAGGATTGACTTCGGGCACTGCAAGCTGAGATAAGGAGACTGTCATCATCAACAACCAGCTCAAATCCTGAAAAATCTACCATTGCTTGGAAGACCTGCCTGCTTTCTGAATGCTTTTATTTCCTTGCAGCTTCTTTGCTCTTTAGAATGAGGTCTTCACTAACCTAGTCCAGCCTGGTCATTATAACCAACTTACGACAAACACTATATGGCCTCCAAACTTGCTAACGATTTCCCTATCTAAAATCTTTCATTATGTTTTTGGAACATGGTTTAATGTTTTGTTGCCATGTTCCAGAGATAAAATGGGAGCTAAGTGAGTTTTTAAAGAAGACCGAACCACTCATAACACCTTTCCATATTGTTTGTCAGATTCTCTGACAGTTCTCTTTGCTCCCAACCTATGCAAACTGCTCAAGTTGAAAATGATACTGTGCATGTTGTCTATAATTACAATAATTATAAGTAAATATTTGTTGGCTCAATGCACATTCAAAGCATTAAACCATTGCTCTAGTGCTTCTGCTGATCATTTTATATTTCTAGTCTTGAACTGTTTGGCTCTCTGAGCAATTAGCTTGGAGTGTTTTGAACCACATTTTTTTTTTTTAAACTGGTCTAAGCCAGTGTATAAGTAAATCAGTTATGGATGACTTGAACTAGATACAAACCTTTTAATAAAATTAAAGGACGGCTTAGTTGGAGATAAATTTAATTGTTAAGCACTAAATCCAAATAGTAAAATATGCTCTAAGCCATCAACCTTATTTGAGGCAATCAGAACCTGTTTGTCCATGTCAGAACTTATTTGAGTTAGTTAAAATCAGCCTGAAGCAAATTGAGCTGTTAAAAATAGATCCAAATAATTTTGGTTAGGTATATCTGGTCTTAACCAAAGTGGCTTTAGAGAATCAGAGATGGTTTTGTTGATAGAACTTTTTTAAACTGAACTCTCATGCTGAACTAGTTTGTACACAAAGTTTGGCATTGAGTAGACATTGGACTTGGAGTTAGGAGACCTGTTCTCTGTACTGTAGAGATCAGTTAACGTCTCTGGGTTATGTTACTTCCTCTGAACGCAGAGGGCAAAAGATTTACGCATTTATTTTTGGATCAAGAAAAGATAGCTGTCTAAAGGTAGAGGTGGAAGAGTACAAACTATGATTAATTTTGATGCTGCTATCTAGATCTTCAGTTGTGGCATTTGGTTCGTTAACATTTCCTTTAAGGTGCCTTGGTTTGGGAGCAAGATGTTATATCAACACAAATAGAAGACAAAAGTCATGAAGATCATTTATGGGCTTACACATATAATTCTTCTCTCCAGATAATGAAACCCATTAAATTTTGGTGCAGCAAAGATAGTTTTATTTGTCTGAATTCCACTCAAGCATTCTCAGAGAATTCGAGAACAGTATGCTATTGGTGACAGCATTTCCTCCTGTACCTTAAAACATGTAAAAATAAAGAAGTGACCATTTTTTTCAATCGAATAGCAGGTAGGAAATAAGATAGGCACAAAGTCTTTTACAAATTCTCAGTGCAGAATTTGGAGTCTGCTTTCTCATTAAACAGGGTCTGGATTTTCTTTCAATTCTTAACTCTTATTCCTGAAAACCTGGCACTAAGTGAGATGCTACGATACGATAAAGTAGAATATTTATGTTTACACAAGTTGTCGTCTTCTTCTGGACAAGAATTCTGTTGTATGCCATTACTAACAGTGACTTACACCTGTGATTGCAGAATCTATCACATAGGAAAGATATCATCAGTAAAATGTCTGTCTTTATAGTGTACAAACAGAATTATGAATGCCTGTAGAAACTCTACCCTTATTACCTGTCCAGTCTTGCTGAATGTGGAGCGGCAAATATGCACCTAAGCACACTGAGGTAGTATATTGTAAAGGCCTGGGGGCTCAGGAGGAATTTTGAGCATAAGGTGAGTCACCAAATTGAGGAAAAAGTAGAAAAGGTAATCTGGAAAGTCAATAAATGTCCTTGCCTGAGTTTGTTAATTTTATGGGTCTATAGAAATAATCCTGTAGAAAGCATTTAATCTTACTGCAGCTTCTGAATGTAGGATAAGGGGGAAAGTGTATGATGAGAGGAGAATCAGCAGCTTCTAATTGTAGGGCAGCAGCATGTGTGAGGATGGTGAATACATTTGTATGCTTTAATGGAAAAGTAAAGTCAGTGGTAGTGAAAGAGCTGGTTATTTTTCTGAATTTCAGTAGGGTAGATTAACATTAGCAATAGGATATAAGAATTGAAGGTGACATTTTTCAGTTAGATTGGTATTTTGAATAATTTGACTCTAGTTGGAGGATAAAAACAAACCATGAGTACAGGTTGCAAAGAATAAAATAATAATCATTGTTAAGATTGTTGGTAAAAACAAGATTATTTTCTTATGTAAGGAGGAATTTTGTTTTTGAATTGATACAAAAAAAACTGACTGTAAGCATTGCTTTTTAGAATAAATTTAGCAAATTTAGGTAAATGACCCATTAGTTGTGTAACTCTGGTCTCTGAGTAGTGATTGCTCAAATTTGGTGCTTAATTCCAGAGTGGACAGTGATAATCCAGAAAGTCTGACTTAATTTGCAGTAAATAACAACAATAATGATGTATAAGGAAGCTGCAAAACAAATCATCTTGTGGATTCAGCATTGTTTTTGAAGAAACTACAATAACATGTGAAAATAAGTAAATGAAATTGTCTAGATATTGAAGTAAAAAAAGGAAAGCTAAGGATTCAGTACTAGGAGACTTTCAAAAAGGAGGGGCTTGGAAAAACTTGCATGCTAAGAATTATTACTCTAGCAGTTGCCTTCCTTTTTTCCTTCTTTCTTGTGTTATTTTTGTTCTGTGGGATTTGTATATGAATTGGTGAGCATTAGTGTCTTGATTATCATTTTCACATAGAATTTTTATCCTAACATTGCTATTATAAGCACCTTTAATTAAAACTTTGCTACTTCAGTAGTACTTCATGTAGCAAAATTTGATCCATGAGCAGTGAATAATGCCTAATTCTGTCTTCAAAGAACTCTTCAGCATGTAGGATTATACAGAAGTACTTTCTGAATGAAATATTAAAACTAGTCACTCTATTTATGGAGGATTCTTATATCTTCTAATAAATTTTATGCATTTGTTTGTATTTTGCAGGTATACCACTGACCTCTTCATCATGTCTGATGGAGACTATGATTACCTCATCAAGTTTTTAGCTTTGGGAGACTCTGGAGTAGGGAAGACCAGTGTACTCTACCAATACACAGATGGAAAATTTAACTCAAAATTTATTACGACAGTGGGTATTGATTTCAGGGAAAAGAGAGTGGTAAGTTTATATCCTTCTATGTAAAAATATAACCTCTGAGTTAACTTTTGCTAGTCTGTGTGATTTACTTCATAGGAATTAGAAGCCCAAAGGTTGGAGTCTAAAGTTGAATTTATAAAAGTTGAATTTATAAAAGTGAATTCATAAAAGTGTATTCTGTTTGTTCTGAATAAGGAGATTTAAAAGATTCTACTGAAGGACATGTCATATAAAACCAAACACTAATAAGTGAAAATCAAGATTCTTCTTCATTTTCTCCTTTAACACTTTTGACTTTATTTTCCCTTCTGAATTCTACAATCATTTACTTTTGTTATGAAGCCTACAAATATGCTTCCTCTCTGTATCCCTATCTTGTAGGTACTGTCTTTTGCCTTTGATAACATTTGTAATGGCTCTTCTCTAAAATAAGGATTCAGGCAATTCCTTACTGAATACTAAGTGGCAGGATGCATTGCTGCTGCCAGAAGGGTGAGTTTGGAGCAGGAGTGTGGAATGCCTGAAGTATGTGTTGATGTGGGAAGTAACCAAGGAACAGGCGAGGTTGAACAGAAAGAAAGGAAGAGTCTCACTCTTTTTTTTAAGGATATAAAAACTAAAAACTGTTTTAGTGGTGGAGGGAAAGGCAGGAAGAGTTAAATATGTCAGAGTTTCAGAGAAGAGAATGCCTTTTCCATGAACTACTTTTTTTTTTTTTTTTTTTTGGCTGATAAATGGACAAATACACTGAAGCAGTAAACCTGTAAACAGTTTACTGTAAAGCAGTTAACAGGGATCAGGAGCTTATAGTAACAAAATCCCTTTAACGGAGCATATTCAGTCTCTTCCTTGTACTTCCTTTCTATACTAGGTCTCCTTTTTCACTCCAAGGAATCTTACAGCAACCGGGACCTGATGAATATAAATAGGGTCTTTCTGAAATTTTTAGTAATGACTTATAATTGGTAGATCCAATGTTTGTATGTGATTATATTTTTAATTCTTATTTTAAAAACTTTGGCTAAAAGAACTTTTTTGGGATAGAAATCACATAACATAAATTTCACACATTCAAAATATGCCATTCAGCGGTTGTCAGTGTATTCACGGTTTTGCAACTTTTGCCACTGTCTCATTTTAGAATATTTCATCATCCTGCAAAGAAACCCATACTTTAGCTATCATTCCTCATTTCCTCCCCCTCTCCTCCATAGCCACTAATAACTGCTACTCTACTCTTTATGGGCTTGTCTGTTCTAGACATATATTCATGGACTCATTCAACATATGGGCTTTTGTATCTGGCTTATTTTACTTAGCATGTTTTAAGTTTTTTTCATATTGTCATGTATCAAAATTTCATTCCATTTTATCAACAAATAATATTCTATTTTTGGTTTTTTTCAAAGTTCTTTTTTTAAGATTTATTTATTTATGCATACAGAAGTGGGGTACAGGCCAGGGGGTCAGGGGCTGTGAAAGGACTCACCAGAGACAGAGCTGGGAACTGACTGAAGTACATTGCTGAAGGGAGCAGCAGGCAAGTCAGAAGAGGTCTGCCTCGCCATGTGGGTCACCTCCTCACCTCTGGGGCAGGGATTGAACTCATGTTGAAGTGGCTTTGGCTTCTTAGTGCTGTGCTTTAACACTCTGTGCCACCAGGGAGGGCCCCCATTTTTTATTTTTAGAGTTGAACCTTCTTTTTATCTTTGTTCACTCTAGTTTATTGATTTTGTTAATTTCCCAAACAATAAAATTATTTATTTCTACTATAATGTTAATTACTTATTTCCTTCTGTTTGTTTTGGATTTAGCTTATTCTTATTTTTCTAACTTTAGTTTTGAAGTTACTGATTTGAGATTTTTCTTAGTTTTTTTTTTTAAATATAGGTATTCTATAATTTCCCCTCAGAGCATATTTTACCTTCAGTCAATAATTTGTTGTATGTTATGTTTTTGTTCTCATTCATCCAAAAATATTTTCTGATTTGTGTTTCTTCTATGACCCAGGTAAGACTGTGTTATGTAGTATCCACATAGTTGTGAATTTTCCAAATTTCTTTTCAATTAGTGATTTCTCATTTAATCCATTGTGATTAGAAAGGATGTTTTGTATCATTTGAATCTTTTAAATTGATTGAGATTTGTTTTATGACCTAACATATGGTTTATATTTTAGAATGTTTCATGTATATGTGAGAAGAATATTTATTTTGTAGTTGTTGGGTGAAGTTTTCACTACATGTCTGTTACATTTATTTGGTTTACAGTGTTGTGCAAATCTTCTATTTTCTTCTTCACTTGCCTACTTGTTCTACCCATTATTGAAGAAGTGGAACATTAAAGTCTTTAAATATTGTTATTGAAGTGTTTGCTTCTCCCTTCTTATCCCTGTATATTCTTGATGGATTGATTTTTTTTTTAAAGATTTGTTTATTTGTGCATACAGAACTGGGGTACAGGCCAGAGACTCGGGGCGGTGAGAGGCTTCACCAGAGACAGAGTGGGGAGCAGAACAGGCAGATTGACGAAGTACACTGCTGAGGGGAGCAGCGGGTGGGTCAGGAGAGGTCTGCCACACCATGTGGTCACCTCCGGGGTAGGTGGGAATCGAACTCATGAGGCTTTAGTTTCTCAGTGCTGTGCTTTAACCGTCTGCACCACCAGGGAGGGCCCGATGGATTGATCTTTTTATCATGATAAAATATTCTTCATCTCTAATAACAATTTTTATCTTAGTCTGTTTTATCTCAGTATAGCTATTTCAGCTCACTCTTGATTTTTGTTTTCATGGTGTCTTATTTTCTGTGTTTTTATTAGTAATCTATTTACATCTTTGAATCCAAAGTATGTCTCTTGCAAAATAAATGAACACACAATACTAAACCAAAGCAAAGCCTGGAAATCTGCTTATAGAGTTGAAGCTATCAGAGGGGAGCCATGGGGCTGGGGAGCAATGTGGGGAAGGCACTTACAGACTGGTGGAGAGATAGGTGTGCTTGGTTCATCTGCTGAGATGTGAGCCTACCTCTAAATCATATACATTTTTGCAAACCAACATTATCTCAATGAAAATTAATATAGAGTGTGGGAAGAGTGTACTGGACTGTGGTGATGGCACAGGGTGGTGAATTGGTGGTGGGAAGCCCATGGGGATTACAACTGAGATGAAAAAATGCACAAAATGAAGAATGATGTAAAAAATGAAGAAATATTTAAAAAATTCATATAGAGCAATTTAAAATGGAAAAACTGTGTTACTTATAGACATTAAGATCATGTTTCTTTTATTCTGCCAAATTCTGCCTTTAATTTGTAGTTTTAATTCCATTTTTACTTAATGGACTTTACACTTAATATAATATATTATATTATTGATATGGTAGGAATTGTGTAAATGGACTTTACACTTAATATAATATAATATATTACTGATATGGTAGGAATTGTGTCTTCTATTTTGTTTCTTGCTTTACTTGTATCCTGTCTCTTTTTGTTACACTATGTATCTCTATAATGCTGCTATTTGCTTTATTGTTGCTTAATAATAATACTGGGCTGAAGTCTGTAACAATTTTGTATCATAATATTTTCTAGGTCTTTTAATTCCCTTATCATTATTTTTCTATATTATTATTTAGTAGTTCCTTTGGAAATTAAAATGATCTTAAATTTTTAACAATCTAGTTTGGATTAAAACCAATTTGATACTGTACAACAGTTTATTGATAGGCTCTCTTTCCTTTCCTTGTATCTTATTCTCATGCAAATTACATCATTCTATATTTTGTGTCTATCGACACAAATTAATAATTATTACTTTATGCAGGTATCAGCTGGGAGAAAAGAGTTAAAAATACATTTGTACTGTTTTTATATTTACCTCTGTAGTTACCTTTTTGGAACTTTTTCATTTTGTGTGTGGATTTGAATTACCACCTACCATCGTTTTATCTCAGCCTGAAGCACTGTAATTATTTCTTGTAGCACAGGTCTGTTAATGATGAATATCCTCAATTTTTCTTTATCTAAGGATGTCTTAACCTCTTCAATTTTAAAGAATATTTTTGTTGGTTGTAGAATTCTTAGTTGGTAGTCTTTTTTCTTCAACACTTTGATTATGTCATCTTGTTGCCTTTTGACCTCTATTATTTTTGATGACAAAAAAGCTGTTAGTCTCATTGAGATCATTTGTATGTAATGAATCAATTCTCACTTTCTGCTTTAAGGCTCTCTCTTAATCTCTGGATTTGGCAGTGTGATGGTAATGTATCTAGTAGTGAGTTTATCCTTCTTGAGTTCATTAAAGTTTGTTGAGTGTGCACATGAATATTTTTCATCAAATTTGGGTTGCTTTTATTTGATATTCTTCAAACATTTTTTCCTGCCTCTTTGTATAAGATTCCTGGTATACATACATACATACATACATACATACATATGATATATGATATACTGGATTATGCCTCATAAGATTCTTCACTTTTCTGATTCATTATTCATTGTCCCTTCTTTAGTCTTTATCATTTTTATCATATTCCTTTATCATATTTATAATGACTGATTTGACGGACATATCATTACTATTTTTTCTTTTTAAGGGTTTTTGGTTAGCCTATTGTTAGTCACAACTAATATTGCTACCCTGTTAATTGTAATGTCAAATAATTGAACCAAATTGTTTTCAACAAGTGCTCCATTGGGTGGGTCTGTTCTCAAAGAGAAAGCCCTGAACCAAGTTGGGTAAAATAAAGATAAAGTCTGGGAAAGGAGCTTTTATAGGCAGCTTCCAGATAGTTCTCTTCAGATGAGACTTGTGGGGACTCCAAACATGTTCTGACTCTACTATCATATTCCTTTGTCATATTTATAATGACTGATTTGATGGACATATCATTACAATTTTTTAAGGGTTTTTGGTTAACCTATTGTTAGTCACAACTAATATTGCTATCCTGTTAATTGTAATGTCAAATAATTGAACAGAGGCTGATGGTTCTCACATCTACCAGAAGTTGTACACCATTTTTTTTTTCAAAGATTTATTTAAGCATACAGAACTGGGATACAGGCCAGAGTTGCAGGGGCAGTTTGAGGATTCTCCAGAGACAGAGTAGGGAGCCGAACAGGCAGATCATTGAAGTACACTGCTGAGGGGAGGAGCAGCAGGCAAGACAGGAGAGGTCTGCTACCTCCGGGGCTGGGGATTGAACTCACACTGAAGTAGCTTCGGCTAGCTTGCAGTGCTGTGCCCAATGTGCCACCAAGGAGGTCCCGCCTTTTGGTTTTAAAGGCTACTGTGGAGTGTGTGGGCTGGGGCGGAGTGGTTAGTTATAGGAAAAGGGCATTAAAACAACACTACACTTACTGTTTTTGCTGGTATCAAGACTTTTATCTTGAGTAAATGTCTTTAAATGTTACATTAATTTGACATTTTTACTAATGCTTTTATGAAAGAAGACATTTTCAGAGGCCTGTCTGCATTCTAAAAGTTTTTCCCATAGATTTGTTTTAAGAATACTTTTTAAACATGGGATGTTAATTGTAATGTAAAATAATTGTAGTCATATAATAGTAATGTTTCCTGAAACTAATAACGTGGGGGGACTTCATGAAAAAGGGAGGTGCTTATTATTTTTAATCCAAATTATGGAATATTTAAATACATTTACAATACATTTCCAATAATATGGCTATAAGTTTATTTGATATAAATTATTTTATCATCCAAAGATAGTTACTTGAAATAAAATACAAGTTGTATTACAGATGGGATTTTCTTTAGAAGTTTAAGATGCTTAGGAAGTTGTACTAAACAATAAAGTAAGAAGAGCTTACTGGTCTTAGAATTTATTTTTCTCTTTTATTTTGCTTTTTCAGGTATACAGAGCTAATGGGCCAGATGGAGCTATTGGCAGAGGCCAGAGAATTCACCTGCAGTTATGGGACACAGCGGGGCAGGAGAGGTATGAGAGCCTCAGTTTTGTAGTTTTTACTGAAAGGAAGGGGAAAAAATAACAACTATACTTTTCACACAGTGACCTGCGCAGGAAAATTTCAACTGATTAGTTGATTACACCTAGATAAGATATGCTGCCAAATTAGCAAGAAATTTATCATTTGAGACATGATAATAGAAACTTTATTTCATACAAGTCAAAAAAATTAATCCTTCTCAAAATGGACACTTTGCCTTCTTTTTTCCCTTTTCTTTTGGCTTGTGTACTTTTCTGTGTTCTTTTCCTATATTTACACATTAACAAAGGAAGCTATGGATATGCATATTATTCTTACTAGGTTGTTGAAATCCAGTGGAAAATCTGGTTAGAATTAACTCATATGGTCAGGAATTGCTTGACCAAAATAAGTCACATGAAATCTTGGTATGTTTGCTTTTAATTATCTATAGCTTCTATTTTCTTTCAGTTCTTTGAAGGGCTTTATTAACCTTTTATTATGGAAAACTTAGAGCATATATAAAAATAGAAAGTGTGATACAATGAGTTCATGCATTCATTTCCCTGTGTCAGTAGTTACCAAGTGGTGGTCTTATTTTTATATTTATGCCTTACTACTACTCACACTACCCTCAAAATTATTTCAAAGCAAATTCCAGACATCAGATTATTTCAATGATAACTATTTTGGTATGTACCTCTGATAGATACTCTTAAATGTAAGAAGTGTTTAAGAAAACCTGATGTAGCAGACTAGATGACATGGAGAGAGCTATTTTCTTGCACTTTGATAATTGTTGGAACCTTAAAGGTCTAGATATAGGTGCAAGTATTTCTTTCTAGATATCTATTATGTGTTATAAGATGCCAAATATAATTGATTTTATATGTAATTTTATACTGTTAAAAGTATCACTTCAAATAGCAAAACTCATGAAATCTTTTATAACTAGGAGGTACAATATGTATATACAATGAGAAATTATTAGAAGTGGCACATTATTAAACATCTAATTGGTTATTAACTATTGTGAGACTGAGGACATTGCTGGTAACTATACTTCAACAGTCGGTTAGGTAATTAGTCTGCTTTCACATTCCTAGGTTTCGCAGCTTGACAACAGCGTTCTTCAGAGATGCTATGGGGTTTCTTCTGCTTTTTGATCTGACAAATGAGCAAAGTTTTCTCAATGTGCGAAACTGGATAAGTAAGTGTTATTATTTCTTACCTCCTACTTCCTACTCCCCACAATAGCATGTCTCATAGTATACTTCGTTCTCTTATTTTGGAGACATTCCTAGTACCATTTAAAATGCTGTTTAAAGAAGGTTTTTAGGGTAGAGCTAAAGTGTAATTAAAATCTCTTCTTTTCCTAGTACTACTAACTGATTTGTGTGTACTTCCTGTACTCCAGGTAGAAGGCAGGGCTTTCCATGTCATCTCTTAATCAGCCTTTTTCTGCAGAAGAGACTGTTACTCTCATTTAACAGATGAAAAATTAGAGAAGTTCAGTCTCTAAATATATGTGTGACTGTTGTATACTATTATTTCTTTCATCATTCCTGATACTAAAGTGTAAATTATATAGACATAAATAACATTTTTATAATTTTTTAATTTTACATATGTTTCACATCATTCTTTGTTTTTATACAATGTATGCTTTGGTATACAATGTAATCTTTGGTATAATTCCTGTGAATTTCCCACCACTAATTCACCTGTGCACCATCACTATAGTCCTTTGTGCTCTTCCCACCCCTGTTTTGATCTTACTCCCTCCTCCCCCACCTTGCAGATTATCTCTAATTTATAATTGCCTGTTGGTTTTGGGTTTTACTTTAGAATAATTAATTTTTATCCCTGATCCCTTATTTGGAGCACCTACATTCCTCCTGTAAGTGATGCCATCCTTTTTCTTTCTGGCTTATTTCACTGAGCATGATCCCTTCCAGCATGATCCCTATCCATGTTTCTGTGAATGGTATGAGTTTTTCCTTTTTCATTGGTAAGTAATATTCTCTCTCTCTCTCTCTCTCTCTCTCTCTCTCTGTGTGTGTGTGTGTGTGTTTGTACATATATATACCACAACTTCTTGACCAAGTTATCTATTTTTGGGCATTTGGGTTGTTTCCACTATAGTGTACCTATTGTAAACAGTGCTGCAATAAACATAGAGGTACAGCTAGACTACTACCTCATATCATGCACAAAAACCAACTCAGAATGAATTAAAGAACTAAACATAAGACCCGAAATCATAAAATATATAGAAGAAAATATAGGTGAAACACTACATGACATACACCTCAGTAACATCTTCAAAGACAAATCACCGAAAGCAAAGATAGTGAAGGAAAAGATAAGTAGCTGTGACTAAATCAAATTAAAGAGCTTCAGTACAGCAAAAGAGACATTAACTAAAACAAGAGATCCCTGCTGATTGGGAGAAATTTTTTGTACACAATACAATGATAAGGGACTAATCACAAAGATATACAAAGAGCTGATGAACCTCAACAAAACAAAGAAAACAACCCAGTAAAAAAATGGGCACAATAGCTAAAAAAAGACACATTTCCAAAGAGGAATGCATATGAAAAAAAGTTCAACATTACTTGCAGTCAGGGAAATACAAATTAAAACCACAATGAGATACCATCATATATTAGTGAGAATGGCACTTACTAAAAAAAACTACGAACGACAAATTTTGACAAGGATATGGAGAAAAAGGAACTTTCCTACACTGCTGGTGGGAATGCAAACTAGTCTAACCACTATGGATAGCTTTGTGGACGTTCCTCAAACTGCTAAAAATGAACCTTCCATATGATCTAGCAATTCACTCCTATGGAGCTACGCAAATGACACAAAAACATAAATACCTCTTGAAGGCTTTAATGGATCTATCTCTAGTTCCAGATCTCCTCTGGGCTTAGAGGTCCCTCCTCTTCCCTCAGGGCCAAAACATTTGTCAGGAAGGTCCTGTCATGGAAAATTCTAGAACTGCATTAGCAAAAGTGGTTCCTAGCACAACTTATATATATCTTAATTTTTGCTCTTTGGAGAATTCCTGTTCTCTTGAATGATTGTTTACAAGCCATTTAAAATTCTGCTTGACCAGTTAGCAGTTTGCAGTGAACGTTTCCCACTGTTGGTTATATGATCTATTATGACCCTGGAGAATCTACTGGGGAAGGTTATAGTGCTAAATTGATAATATCCAAATCTTTAAAATGAAAATACATGTAAGAATATCTAGTGTTTAAAAATATTACTTGGTGTCTTGAGATTATGAAAGGGTAATTGGTTGTGATTCTAAAGATAGAAAATCTTAGTTTGAAAAATCTTTTTTTTAATTTAAAATAAATTATGTAGCACACTGTGGTTTTCAAAGTATTTTCATATGCTTTGAATGAGTTTCACAGCTGCCTTGTGAAGAGATTCATGTGGGCATGCATCCTCATTTTTGGAGGACGCTGAGCCTTAAAGAGATTTATTCAGGGACAAGGAATTTAGAGTTCAGTGCCTATTGTGCTCTTTTAAACTAAGCTGGTATCTAAGTATGGAAGAGCTGTTAAATACTTTCAAGAAGTAAATGTCATCATTATCACCATTTACAGATGGGGAAACTGAGGCACATATCACAGAGTAAATAAATGACAGAGTAGGGACTTAATCTCAGGCACACTGAATCCTGAGTTCATGTTCACAATCACAATGCTGGACATATAAATCATTAACAGGACACAAAGCCACTTTGGAGATGAAAGCATCTGAGAAATGTAAATGTAGCTGAGAAGCAAGATTTTAAAAAATGTTTTAATAATTTATATATATATATATATTTACATCATTGTTCTTTTCTATTTCTTTTTATATTGTTTGCTTTCTTCTTTCATGTGTGGTCCCCATAGAATTTCCAAGGTCCTAAAGGAAGGGTAGGGAGTCCCTGAAGGAAGGTTATGGTTGGTTATTCAAGGGATGTGGGGAAAGCAAGTTTAACAGCTTCCAGGAAAGAAAGAGCATGGCTTTTATTAAACTGGTACATAGTTTAGTCTTTCCTGAATAAGTCACTTTCCCCAGTTGCCCCATGAAAAAAAGGTCAGTGTCTTGAAATTCTACACAGAATATCAGGTCTTTACACATGCTTATTACATTCTTGTCAACATGACTGTCACTTGCTAAACTAGAATGAACATGACTTCAGTATGAGGAACTGAAATGTCAATACTGTTCTGCTTAACCATGATAAAAAGTAGGCCATAAACTTTGGGGTATGTCATATTGTGCACATTCAGACTGCATTAATTTTGTTATGGGATGTGATGTTTAAGAAATAAAAGTTTATTTTCCTTCTTTGGGAGATAAAACCACTCATTTTAGTGAAACTTGTTTGATTTAGTCACATTTTCAAACTTTTATTTAATATTTTTAGCTGAGATGATTTTAGGATATCCCCATCAGATATAATTTAATTTCTTTTTAAACCTACACCTATTTGTGGGTTTTCAGTGAAGAGAAAAAAGTGGTGGAAAAGGAATTGTAGTCTGCTATTTCTTCTTAGTTCTGGTGACAGAATCCTATGCTATTTTGGATTTATTTCATTTAATCCTATATCTTACCTTAAATGAGTTGATTCTGAAGATAATAGAAAAAGATGAAAAAATTTTGGTAGAAATAGGCTAGTTTATAAAAAGACAATTTTTGTAAAATGACATTTCTGTGTAGTGAGAACATATGAAAGATAGAGCTTTAAACCAAAAACAAGTGTTGACAAGTATAGAGAAAAAGAATCTGTGTACATTATTGGTGGAATGTAGACTGGTCTATCTAGCCTACATGGAGAATAGTATGGAGATTCTCAGTGGGTCTAACAATGATCCACTCATAGATAACTACCTGAAATATGCAAAAACACTAATCTGAAGGGACATATGTGCACTTGTGTTCATTGCAGCACTGTTTACAATAGCAAGGGTATGAAACAACCTAAGTGATAAATAGATTTGGAAGATATGATGTGTGTATGTGTGTGTGTGAACATAAACCTCTTAACCCCATATAGAGTGTTATAAGCCAGCACTCTTTCACTAAAGATAATTCGAAAAAATAATCACAGTATTGGAAAAATAAAAACAGCTTTATGATTGGAAATTCTCCAAAATGTTTTACTGCCACATGGTGTGTATGTGTGTGAGTAGTGGGTATACAGGCACACATGGCATTTTAGAGGATTAGAGAATTCTTCCCTTAATTGTAATATAAATAAGCTGGGGTAGGTGTTTAAGCATAGGAGTATTTTTACATTTCTGCCCCACTCATTCAGTTTTACAGATTGGATTATTGATGATTTGAAAGGATTAAGACAGTTCCTCATATCTGTGTATCCATGTATAGTTTTCAAAGCACTATTAAGTGATCACAAATTCACATTTTTATCTATAATAGATTTCTTATCTTCTTAATAGGTCAGCTACAGATGCACGCATATTGTGAAAACCCAGACATAGTGTTATGTGGAAATAAGAGTGATTTGGAAGACCAGAGAGTAGTGAAGGAAGAGGAAGCCAGAGGACTTGCTGAGAAATATGGGTGAGTACTTTTGTGGAGAACTATAATGAAAATACTTCCAGCACAAACATTTGCACATCAATGGATAATGCAAAAGAAAAAAAGCAAAAAATTAATGCACTTATATATAGCCTCTGCTTTTAAATATTATATTATAGTAGAAATCATAGAAAAAGCTCTTGGAAAGAGCCTTCATTTAATACTTGTCTCATTTTTTTTAAAAAGATTTATTTATTCATACAGAACTGGGGTACAGGCCAGAGATGCGGAGGTTGAGAGGATTCACCAGAGTTACAGTGGGGAGCAGAACAGGCAGATCGACGAAGTACACTGCTGAGGGGAGCAGCGGGCGGGTCAGGAGAGGTCTGCAGCGCCATATGGATCACCTCTGGGGCAGGTGGGGATCGAACTCATGTGGAAGTGGCTTTAGCTTCTTAGTGTTGTGCTTTAACCCGCTGCGCCACCAGGGAGGGCCCGGGATGACAGCTTTTAATATCTACTCTTTGCAACTTTCAAATATGCAATTCAATATTATTAAATGTAGCCACCATGCCTATTCTTTACTTTTCTTCTGCATCTATATTGAGAACTCAAATATGTTAATTACCCTTACTATAAATTGGCCGGGCAGCAAGTGGGGCTGAGAAGGAAAGGGAGAAATGGTATGATATGGGGTAGCATGTAAAGGCTATTACAGTTACGGACCTTGTTTATTAGTCAAAATCCAAGAAGACCAGAGGAGGTCCTTTCCACTGCTTTGTTTTTCCTTGGACTAAATGGAGGTTTAGGAGGAATTCAGGAAAAGAGTGGAAGGAAGGTTGACCAGGTGGAACGAAATCAGAGTCTTAGAGAGTTTTGACGATCAGGCAGAGTCAGCCTGATCTCTTGGGAGATAGGGAGTTACTGAAAGCCTTTGAACATGGGAGTAATGTTATGATTCCTTTTCCAATTCAGTACAGCAGTTGTAGCTGGGGTGAAAAGGAGAAAGACCAGAGACAGTGAAATTTCAGGAGTTTGTGAGGTAGGTAGGGACTAGGCTTATGAAAAGTGAAAAGTAAATCAGAGAAAATTAGGGGATCAGAAAAAGATTTTAGAATTTTTCACAATTCTAGTTCACAGGCTGAATTCCTATCAACTATATTGGTTACTATCAATTATATTGGTAAGAGGGCAAGGATTTGCAAGAATTTGTAGTAGGATGAGGAGATTTTCACTCTAAGGTAGGTGACATTGATCCATTTTAGTAATATCTGGTGAACTTTTTACAAATACATCTGGGCCTCACTTCTGAGCTTCTGATGTAATTGCTCAGTAGTAGTTTGGCAAGCAGGGTTCAGTGAAGAAACATATATAAAGAGATTTGTAACATGGATTTGACCTTGTGCAGTGTGGGAGTTGGTTAAGCAGTCTCTGATAATGAAGCTTGAGTCCAGAGGACAGGCAACCAAGAAGGGAAGATGGATTTAAATTTAAGTTGGGGAGAGCAGGAACCGTAATAGTGTACTGAAACTGGTATCACTTCTCGTTGCCTCTGACCTGGATGGTGTGGGTGGCCTACAGAGGACAGGGCCCTTCACAACCAACCCAAACACATACAGCTACCTGGGAGTCAGAGAGGCTGGATGAGCACTGAAGAAAAGGTGGGATTGGGGCAGGTCTGCTTGTTGGCTTATGACAAATGAACCAGCCTATAAGTGACAATGTGTAAGAACTAGAAAATGACTACTGCTTCACTTCCACCCTCCAAATCTCTCTCCAGCTCTTTTGGTCAGACTCAAGAGGGAATTCTGGGAAATGTTCAACCAAAACAGTATGGGTGAGGTCCTGGACATTGGTATTTTTTAAAATTCTGCATGGAGTTTTCATGTATAGTAAATGAAACACTGAGGTGATTTTGAAGTGGATAGAGGCTGATAAAGCCTTGTAGGTGATTCTTCTATGTGCCCTACATCCTCAGTGATGTAGTGGGAAAGAAAGGGTGCAAAAACATTCAAATGTTGAACTGGGAGCTGTGTGGCAAGGGGATATGGTGAAAGTAAGTGATGAAGTAATGGAAACCATGAACCACTTGACCATGTTTTTGAGAAGTATGCTAGTAAAGGCAAAAAAAAAAGTCAATTCAGGGAATGTTATATCAAATAAGTATATTCTCAAGTATAAGTGGGAGAGTCAGGATTTACTTCTTCCCTCCTCTGGCCATATGAGCACTTTGCTTATTTCCTCTGTTCTAGTTCTTAGGATTCTACATCCTGCCTGGTATCAGAGTTCCATGTTGTTTTCTGTTAATATGGGAAACTGGGGACCCAGGGGTTGTCTTTCTTTTGTGTCCTGCTCACAGTAGCTGGAGAGTGGATTTTACTCTAAAATTTATGAATCAAGTTAAAATTAGTAGAGAAGAGATTAGTAAGTAAAGTAATTGAAACGGTTGGAAAAGAGTTCATAAGTTGTTCTCTAAAATAAACAGACATTTGGGGAAAGAAATTTTTCTGTCTCAGAAAAACTTTGCAAACTTAGTGAAGAAAATTGTCACACAAATATTGATATGCTGGGACAAGTAAATCTGAGAATGAGGATTTCATTTTGGCAGTACACAAAAGCAAAAAGGGTAAATTAGGAGCATAATGGTAACTATCAGCATATTTATTACTGATCGACTTAAGAGTCCATGTACCCCTAATTCCCTGTACTTTTTTTTTGGGGGGCCATGAAAAGTGATTAATTTGTAACATGGAGCTCTTAGGTTACTTCCTACCCAACATTAATTTAGTTGATAAACAAACCAAGGTTTTCTAGGACAAGTGTAAAATACTGTTTTCTATGCTGTTGATTCATACTTTCGGTAAGGGTAGAAAAACGAGCAAAAAAAAAAAAAAAGGCTTGTTTACACTTGTATTTCTGCCAGCCTATTGCAGTTCATTCTGTTGCTGAGCTACTTTTTATTATACCTACAAACTTATGACAGGTATAGAAGAGAAAGTGGAATGCAGCATTAGCAGCATTCTTACTTTTTTTTTTTAAAAGATTTATTTATTTGTGCATGTAGAACTGGGGTACAGGCCAGAGGTGTAGGGGTGGTGAGAGGATTCACCAGAGACAGAGTGGGGAGCAGAACAGGCTGACTGACAGAGTACACTGCTGAGGGGAGGAGAGGGTGGGCCAGAAGAGGTCCGCCACACCATGTGGGTCACTTCCTGGTCACATATCAGTCATGCTGAAGTGGCTTTAGCTTCTTAGTGCTGTGCTTTTAACCCTCTGCGCCACCTGGGAGGACCCAGCATTCTTACTTTTAGTGATGATGTTGGGTCTCAAACTTTAGTGAGCCTCAGAGTCACCTGAATGCTGAGTTCCACAGTTTCAGATTCAGTACATCTCCCAAATTTAATGTCTGATTCTCTGATGTTGCTGATGGTTGAGGACAGCACTTTGAGAAACATTGATATAATGCCAAGTTACCAGGTGTGCCTGCAACTGGATAGTTTCCTTGACAGTATAGTTGGACAAAATATTTTCTATGCAGACTGTGAAGCATTTGTCTACTTATGCCATGAAAAGGTGTGGGAAATTAACTCAATGGCATACCACTGGGAAATCCATGCTAAAGAGTAGGGAATACTTTAAAAACAAAACAAAACCAGTTCATTATATCTGTTGTAACAGACCCTAGGCAGGGTCTGGGGATTTGTCTTGAAGGAATGCCAACAGTGGGTAGGCAGTAAAGAACTTCACTCTGTGAGTAAAAATACCATGCCTATATGCTCTGTCCCACTATGCTTTTTTCATGGAAGGTAACTGGTGGTCTTTAAGCCTTTTATTCTTGATTCAGAGAGGAAACAGAGAAAATTATGACTATGATAAATGTACACATTTCAAGGGGGGGCTATGTAAAATGGGCAGCAAATTTAAGATGACTTTTCCTTATTGTGGGCTGCTGACTATTGCTAAAGGAAGGTGCTCAAAGGTTTCTGGATGAAGGATCAGTTAAAAACATTCATTTATAACATTATAAATACAAGTACAGACGATTTCTGGAATTTCAAGTAGTTTAGCTTAGCAGTATGCTCAGTGTCTTATCTACTCTGAACTGGATGAATAGCTTAATTTCTAATCCTTGGTTCTTTGCTAACTTAATGGCATCTTTCCTTTATTCACAAACTGAATCGATGATTTGTCATTGTACATTTTTTAGAAACCACACACATTAAGCCACAACTTATATACACAAGACTGTTTTCCAGAGTCTTAGACAACTAAGGATATCTCGATTTCTTTCAATTTTTGTTTCAGATCTTGATTTCATTTGGCACAATCTACCCGGTGAACTGTCTTTTTCCAGTAAAGGCATGTTCATTAGCATGCAGCAATCTCAAAAGTAGGGAGGCTCATTTCTTTCTGTAGTGAGAAATATTTCCATAATGTCTGGATCCACATGTGACCCAAATAACTAGAGCCACTTAGTAGAATCATTACATACTCTTGCTTTCATTGCTGGCATCTTCAAACTGGAAACTAGAATCGTCTAATTTTGTATAAATAATAGAAAAGAAACCAGTTGGATGTGGATTTTGACTTACTGCATGAGTTGGATATTTTGATAAAAAAAAAGCAATTGATAATACCCCCTCATTGATTGAAACTGCTTATCATTCTGCTCATTTTATTTTAAAGTTTGTGACCTATTTTTAAAAAGGACACTAAAGTTAGTGTCCTGCATATATTACCAAGGCCTGTAAGGGGTTATTTACAGACTGCTATCACTATTAGCAGCACAGGATTTTCCCCAAAAGTTTTTCTCCTGGTAATGCTACGTTAGCACCATCATGTGGACAGAAGGAACAATGCCACGCTTTCTGTGGTTAAAAGGGAACAATTAATCCTTTTGAATTTTAGTTAAGATTACTAAATTTTTACCTAAATTTTAGAAGCAGAATATAATATTTTAGGGAATAAAAACCCCATTAGAGGGCCCTCCCTGGTGGCGCAGCGGGTTAAAGCATAGCACTAAGAAGCTTAAGCCACTTCTG